GCACGTTGACATTGTCATCGAGAAGTGCCTCGACCAGCGACGTCCAGCCGCGCTGACTGGCCAGGTGCAGTGCCGTGTTGCTCTTCTACATGACGATCGAAGGTTAGGGTTCCATCGAGAATGCCATCAAGACCGCGTCGGGCGCGTCACGCCGCAAATGGGGCTCGCGAAGAAGACGGTTTGCCGTGGTGGCATCGCTGAGATACGTGATGGCTTGGTGCAGGGGCGTCGCACCGCCCTACACCTTTGTGAGAACGTCCTAGCGCGTGCTCGGAGGTTCAACGTGTGCTGGGACGTTGATGTCATCATCCGGGATGCTCAGGAACAGCTCGAGAAACGTGTCGCTTTCGTTGGTAATGGCGAGTGCAAACGCTGTTCCTTGGTACTACCACGGACGCTAGCATGCACTTCCTTCTAAACGTCGAACGGACCGTCATCAAGCGACGTCGGTCGATGCGCGGGTGACGCAGGAGCATCGTCACGAGGTCCACGCGGTCGGCGAGGACCGCTGCGTGCAGCAGCGTCTGGTCATGCTAGTCGACAGCTGAGCATTGATAACAGCCCAAGGATGTACGAGCGTTGCATTGATATCCACGCGCGGGTCCTGCAGCAAGACGACGACACTCTCCCAGTGGCGGAATTCGACCGCGCGCTGCAGCGGCGTCATGTCCTAGTCCTCCAGCGGATGACAATGTCAATAACGTCACCGTTGTGTCACATAGTACATCGACCGACGCGTTCCAGTCCACGCGCGGGTGGTGGAGAAAGAGCGAGAGCATCTCGGTCAGGTGAGACTCCGAGCAAAGCGCGATGAGCAAGTTGTAGCGGTCCTGGCAGGTTATTGGCGACCGGCGCGAGTGAGACACAAAAGCGTACCGGTTGCAGCGCCATGGGATCTGTCGTGGGGTGGCCGAGCAGCTGCGTGATCAAACCACGCGCGCCACGCTTACAAAGCGTCCACAAGAGCGTTGGCGACGCCTGCTCTAGCGTGAGACGATGGCAGAGAGAAGAAGCTATGGACCTTGGCCACGTCGAGGGTCGGATGCAGCAGCAAGCACGCGACCATATCAACATGGGCTTCGCCGCACGCTACGTCGAGCGGCGTCGCGTCGGCCTACGCGACCGCCAGCATGAGCTACGGAAGCATCGTATCTCGACCTCGTTGCGGGCGTTGACGTCGGCGCCATCGGCGAGCGCAGCAGTGACGCGTGCCAGATGCGCTCGGCCGTCGGGTGCAGAAAGGCCACGTGCATGAGTGCCGTGTTGCCGTCCTAGCGTATATATTGCGATATATCAACATGGAAACAGATGACAATATCGTACATCGTCGACCGCGTTGAGGTCGATCGTGGGCTGCGACAGCAAACACTCGACCATCGCTTCGTTG